AACATGCCAAAACTAGAAGATAGAAGAGAGGTGATATGATCACCACTTACAAAATTCTAGCAGGAATCGACTAAATTGACAAAGAGGAATTCCTGAAACCAGCAACATCACAAATAAGAGAACACAGATTCAAGCTAAGGAAACAAAGGTCCCCCCAAAATATTAGAGAGTTTTCCTTTGCAAACAGAGTGGTAAACGATTGGAACAAGCTAAGTGAGGTGGTGGAGGCCAAAACAGTCAGTACTCTAGTTTCAAAACGTTATACGACAAAGAGCACTGGGAAGACGGGACACCACGAGCATAGAGCTCATCCTGTAACTACGGTTAGGTAATTACCATGAACATAGTTCTCACCCTGTAGCTACACTTAGGTAATTACCATGAACATAACTCTCATTCTGTAGCTACACTCAAGTAATTACCATTAGCATAGCTCTCATCCTTTAACTACACTTAGGGTTGAGAAAAGTGTAATTACAAATGTACCCCAACCCTGAATTCTCTGAATCTGGTAAAGATTTTCCCTAATATTACTTACTATGTTTGATATTGTTCCAAACTTCTGCAGTTTTCAAATATCACAATTTTTTTGGGCCATTTTCTAAATCTCATCAACAGTTAACAAACTTTAATCTTGTTTAATTTTAAGTATTACCACATTAAGCTTGTATATTAATTTCCTAACTTTTTTTTCATTATGCCCAAAATGCTCTACATACTAGTGACTTTATACATTGTACTTGGCTTACTAATGAATCTTCCACTGTTCATCTATAACTTGTGTGCACACTTGTATAAATACAGTAATTATTATTATTATAAGTATAAATCTGAGGAAACACATTAAAGAGCAAGCATAGTTTGGTACTTTTTACCCTTGAAATGTACATACCATCTTATGAAGTTCAGTTCATGGTGCTTATAACATCCTAAGATGTTTTTTTAGGAACTTTGCGAAGCTTCAAACTACTGTACCACTTATACAAGGCATTTTAAATCGGTATTTGAGGTCTTGAATAACCATCTTCCATCTCGAAGTGACAACTTTTGTTTCCCTATGTTCAAGACATGGTTTTTAACAGCACTGGAAGACAATAACCTTGTTTTGAATAACATTTTTCTGAGCACATACACAATTCCAATGTAACCCTTAAGCAATGCAAGGCTTAAGGCAGCTATACGTCTCTTACTTCTGACTATCAGGTTGAGGAGCCTCTTCACTGGCACCCTTCTCGTGGCTATGAATGAGTTCTGCCTTCCGGTGGGGTCCTTTCACCATTGCTGTTTTGTTTGTCTTTGCAAGACTGCATCATATACTCTTGTCGTGTACTTTTGATGCAGCATGGTACAGTACTTGTGCCGTTAGGATTAGAGCTTCACATATCGACTAATTTTCTATTGTCTTTTGTTCATGAGAGCTGGTTCTTTGTCCCTGATCTTGTGATATGCACTGATTTGCTGCTTTCTTTATCATTGTCTTCACAGATCATATTCATTTTCAGGGTTTCTGATGGCCCAAATAATTGTAACCTCTAATTACCTGTTGAATGTCCCTGGTCTTCCCACACACTTGTTTTGTGCTTGGGCATTCAGCATGCATTACTGTATTTTTTTTTTTTTTTTTACCTCGGGTTCTCATATCTTATACTACCCCAATAGGTAGGCTCCGACCATCTTTTGAATTTTCCAAAGAAGCTGGTTTCCTTTGTAGAGGAAACATTGTTAACAAGATCGGGGAGCTAGAAAGGGGTTCCTAATAAAGTGTTTAATTTAATTAAATTAATTTGTGTGGTGGGTCCTCAGTAATTCCCATTCCCAGCCCTGATCACTTTTTTCTTGTGGAGTTTAAGGGTTGATAGAGGCAGCTCCACAGAGAGAGGACAGGTTGGCTGAGACCACAGTTGATTTGGGCTGCCATCTGGTAGCAGTTGGGTGCATCGCATGGTATTTACTCTGCAACAACTATCGTTTGCCTTATTTACATTGGGATGCTTAATTTCCTTCCAGCAGTTACTTGTTTGGTTGCACCTATGTTTTCTGCTGAGTTTTTCTCCGTTTTAGACTGATCTCTGATCTGCAAGTTTCCCTGTTCTCGTAGTGAGCCAAATTCTGGTCCTTCTGTTATCAAATATATGCATTTCAGAGACCTGGTGTGTTTAGTCAAGCCTTGACAATACTGTACTGTACTAAACTTGGGAAGCTATTGGGAGCTCATCAGAACAGGGCATTTCATTACATCCAATGCTTATTTTGTTATATATTAGGTACACAAAGTTTACTTTGGTTTGACTATTATGGCCTTGGATCCTGTCTCACGATGACAGTTTTGGAAATTGCTATGAGATCATTTATAACTATTGTAAGAAGAATCTGATATATTTGTATTTAATGGCATTTCTATAATGGCTTGAATAATGTCTATAAATTAGAAATGTATAATTTTGTGGTGATATTACATGCAATAGTTGCTTACTGGTCTTAACAAGATTCATTGATCTAATTTTGGTTCATTTTGTAGTGTTGATTAAAAATATGAAGTTTAAATATTATTCATTCAGCCTTTCTTCTCTGGCATCTCTAAGTCAAACCTTCAAATTAAATCTTGTTGGCTAATAAAAAAAATGTTTTCACCCCAATAGATTCAGCAAGCTACCAGTCCACCGTGAAGGCACGTGAAAACATATGCTTCTCTAGACAACTAACTTACAAAACTCATGATTAGACACCTACAACTGCATAAAGACTCAAGATTGAAGACCAGAAAGCTTTCTCACTGCTGCTTCTATTTATTGTAGAGCCGAAGTCGCCCATCTCCATCTAGGAGCGCTGAAGTCGCCCATCTCCATCTAGGAGCGCTGAAGTCGCCCATCTCCATCTAGGAGCGCTGAAGTCGCCCATCTCCATCTAGGAGAGCTGAAGTCGCCCATCTCCATCTAGGAGAGCTGTAGTCACACATCTCCATCTAGGAGAGCTGAAGTCACCCATCTCCATCTAGGAGAGCTGTAGTCGCACATCTCCATCCAGGAGAGCTGTAGTCGCCCATCTCCATCTAGGAGAGCTGTAGTCGCCCATCTCCATCTAGGAGCGCTGAAGTCTATAATGGCATATGCCAAAAAGTGCCAACTCTTCCAGTGTTGCCAGTGCCATGAACTTTTCTCTGGTCGGGAAAAATGGCATTTCCACAGCCTTAATACTTGCCGTGAAGCCTTAACTTGTCTTGTGTGTAATGTGCATTTTAAATTGAGAGAAGAGTTGAATGAACATAGTCAGCAAAATGGACACTATTTAAAAATGACCTGTGAGAAAATTTATGTGAGTCAAAACAGAATGCAGGAGATGACAGATCAGGGCAGCATTGATAATGACATTTATCACCCACAGACACAACATTTGGCCCATGGTAATTCCTCGATATACTCGCCAACAGCACGCTGTCAACCACAGACTAGTTGCATTAGTCAAGGTAGTTCATCAATACACTCGGCTATGGCCAGCAGAAACAGTCAACAGGATATAAAGCATCAGGGCAGCAATGATGACATCCATCAACCACGGTTTAGTTATTTTGAGCATCGTGGTTTATCAATAAAGAAAATGCCATTGCTGAAAACGCCACTATTGAAAACACCACCTGCTAGGTCCCCAAGGTTTATAATGCAACAAATGAAAAATAATAAGAACTATTTTGCACAGCAAATTAAATTTGCTCTTAAGACACTATCTGCAACACCTCAAAATATCACAGGGAAGAAGCAAAATGATGTACAATCAAAGGCTGCGGTACAGCTACAACATAGTGTATATCAGCATACTCGCTCACAATCTGGGTATAAACTACAACCACAAAGTAAAGACCAGCTACCACTTGCATTTCTCTCCAATAGTAGTGTTAAAAGGTCTGCCAAGTCTGAAAACAGTGCACAGTTTCCACAAACATCACTGTCACTACATACACCATCACCACTACAAACATTGCATACACCACCAACACCACAAACACTGCCACTGCATACACTACCATCACAAACAACAATGCCACTACCACCACCACCACTACCACCAAAATCACTGCTATTGCATATATCACCACCACAAAAAACACTGTCACTACATTCATCACCACAAACACTGCCAATGCATACACCACCACAATCACTGCCACTGCATACACCACCACCACCACAATCACTGCCAATGCATACACCACCACCACCACAATCACTGCCACTGCATACACCACCACCACAATCACTGCCAATGCATACACCACCACCACAATCACTGCCACTGCATATACCACTACCACCACAATCACTGCCACTGCATACACCACCACCACCACAATCACTGCCACTGCATACACCACCACCACAATCACTGCCACTGCATACACCACCACCACCACAATCACTGCCACTGCATACACCACCACCACCACCACAATCACTGCCACTGCATACACCACCACCACAAACAATGTCACTACATACACCACCACCACAAACAACACTGTCGGTACATACGCCACCACAAACACTGTCACTTCACACATCACCACAGACACTGCCACCACCACCACAAACATCACTGTCACTACATACACCACCACAAGCAACAGTGGCACACACAACACTGCCACTGCATACACCACCACCACCACAAACACTGCCACTGCATACACCACCACAAACACTGCCACCACATACACCACCACCACCACCACCACAGACACTGCCACCACATACACCACCACCACAAACATCACTGTCACCACATACACAACCACAAACACTGCCACCACATACACCACCACCACAGACACTGCCACCACATACACCACCACCACAGACACTGCCACCACATACACCACCACCACAGACACTGCCACCACATACACCACCACCACAGACACTGCCACCACATACACCACCACCACCACCACAGACACTGCCACCACATACACCACCTCCACAAACACTGCCACCACATACACCACCACCACCACATACACCACCACCACCACATACACCACCACAAGCAACAGTGGCATACACAACACTGTCACTACATACACCACCACAATCAGTGGCATCAGAAATGTCAGTGTCACAAACAATAGCAACAACACAAATGAGAATACAAAATCCTAATCTGATTACACATGTAAACAATAATACTGAAAAGTCACCACAGAAAAATGTGAAGGTAATATCACTAAATGGTTACAGCAAAACAGAACTAATGGATGGAAATCTTAGTAGTAGTTCTGATGTATTTCAGATACCTTCTCATGGCACACGAAGCAGTCCTTTTCCACCAACACACAATTTGTCTGACTTGGGAATACCCGATCAAAGGGAATTGCATATTATGCCAGAGTCAAATATATCAAATGTCAAGGGTCATGAAAATGATACACAAACTTCATCTTCACAAAAAGAGTTAATTAATAAACTCTCGACCAGTTCTTTCATCAGAAATAAATGTGCAATAAGGATCAATTGCACAAATGCCTCAAAAATTAAAAGGCCATCAAGTTTGTTACAAATAGATTCTGACACGAGACAAAAGATTTGCTTTAATATTAAAGAAAAAGTGGCCAGGGCATCTAAATTATACTTGGAAAATGCTGAAGATGAACACAGAGAAAACAACAGTACTGAAGAGACTTCAAAATTGTCAAAGTTGGCAGAATTAAAAAAAGAATTGGAAATAGAAAAAGTGTGCAACGCTGAATACAAAAAGAACTTAACTAGTGGAATATGGAGGCGTCCTAGAGGATTTTTGAAACGCAAAAGAAAGTACAAGAAGGGAAAGGACAAAAAATGTATGCCTCGGACAAGAGTCATTAGTTGTGAATATGATAGTGGCTCATCATCTTGTTCATCTGAAGAAACTACAAATGTTCCGCACACAACTCACAAAGACGTGTGCAAAAATAAAGAAAATAGAGATATTTCTCAAGAATTTGATGATAAAGAAAATGTATCATCTCGATATGAAGTTAAGAAGAGCTCCTGTGAAGAGCAGAACAAGAACTCTGCAGAAGGGCAGGACAGGTGCACTGGCGTAGGGCAGAACAAAGTTGTGGAAAAAGACAAGCATACAACCACAGGTGAAAAGGAAGTCATTGTTCTTTCTGATTTAGATAATGACGAAAACTATCTTGATATTTATGCCAGCAATAAGAAAGATATTGAGACAAGAAATAAACATGCTAATAATCAACAAATCAAATCAAGCATTACAGTGAGAGAGGTTAAAGGAAGAAAGGCATCTCTGAAAGCACTCCTCCTGGGAGATGGAGGAGAGAAAGACCAACAGATGACAACAGATAACCAACAGAATTCACAAGACAGTGAATTGATAAAGCAGAACTTTGGACAACAGGAGAGTGTTGTAAAGCAGAGTAACAGCCATGATGTAGAAGAGGTGCAAATTTTAAATAGCAGCACCAAAGACCATGCTAAACATAAATCCAGTAAGGTTTCATTAACTGTGTCTAATGGAGAAGCTCAGGGTAAGACTGGCGAGAAAATTTATAATGATTATTATAATACTTGTATAGACTTGTGGTCAGATATACAAGAGAATAAATCCAAAGCCATAGTAAGTGCCCCATCCAAGACAAAAGACAACCCCTCCAAGAGTCAGCCTGAAAGTAATATATATTCTAGCTCTTGTTCCCATAAGAAATGCTCTCATTCTCATAAAACGTGTTCTTGTCCTCATAAAAAAGTTTCTAGTCCCCTTCAGGCACATTCTCACTCTCATTCCCATAGTGGATGTTCTTGCTCTGGTTCCCATAGAGCACATTCTTACTCTCTTTCCCACAGTGTGCAGTCTTGTTCCCCTAGGGCACACTCCCCCTCCCCTGGGGCACGCTCTCCTTCCCCTAGGGCATGTTCTTTCACTCATGCCTATAGGTTGCATTCTTGCTCTCCTTCCCAGAGTGCATGTTTTTGCTTCCTTTCTGAAAGAGAATCTCGTTCTCCTGCTAGAAATGCAAATCCTAACTCCATTTCAGTCAGCAAGTCTAGAATGCTGTCAAAGAAAGTCTTCAGACCTAGATCTTCGAAGAGATTTAGTTCATTGTCAAACACCTCAGATTTAGATTGTCACGGAACGAGACTTTCCAAGTCAAGATGTATGGAAAAAGGAAGTGAAACGCACAGCAACGTATATAGGTGCAAGACTAAGGACAGAAGATTAAATTCAGAATACAGTGATGAAGGCTCATTAACATCAAATATAATTAACAGACCATTTGAAGAGGTACAAAATATAAAAGAACACTGTGCCAGCCTCTCTCTTACACTAGACCCTGTTCAAAAATCTGTATTAGTTAAAGAAATTAGTTCAATTCAAGAATTTTTTAAAAGTAGACAGTCCAAAGATATTGAGAAAATGATTATAGATTATTTTAACATTGAAATAAAAGAACAAGTGTCAACCAACACAGTAAGACCAGGTATGATTGAAGAAGCTGATCCACTACTTACGAACTCTGAAAAGACGTTGGTTTCTGTGGAGAAGCGACCAAGCTTGCCGTCAAGTGTAACAATAGCGCAGGAAGGGGAAACACAGGCAACACAGGAACATGTGCACTGTCAAAATAATTTAGGTAAAAATGATGAAGAAATAAATTATATTGAAGAAAATGACCAAGATATACCAATAAAAAATGAATATTCTAATAAGATGATAATTCATATTATTAGTAGCTCAGATGATGAGGCAAAAAATAAGAAAAGAAAGAGAGAAACAGGAAGGTACAAGAGTGTACAAGATGTGAACTTCGGGGAACCAGCAAATAGTTTCAGAGATGATGCAGTGGCATCAAAAAGAACAAGAAGCAAGTTTGAAGCACAGAGGATGGACAGCAATCAACAAACAATTAATGAATTGATGAAAGAAGATACACCAAAGAAAAGATACAAAAGTCACCACAGAAAGAAAAGAAATGAAACAAATATGAGTTCTTCAAAGGATAAATCATTGGACTCGAAAAATATGTGGATATGCGGTTTTACAGATGAAGTGACAAGAAATATCAGTAGAGGAAGAAACTATTCAACAGAAACAGAAAGGGTAAACAGTGGTCAACAGACAACATGTGTGTCAGAGGAAGAGGACATACCACAATCAACACACCCAAGAATTAAATGCAAGAGAAAGCATAAACACCACAGAAAACATTGTAGCTTAAGAGCTAAGGCTGAAGATGCTAATGAAAACTGTATTGATAATTCTACAATTGAAGGCAGAAAAGCAAACAAAAGGAGTCACAAATTGGCAAAGAGAGAGAGGAAGAGCAGCAGAAAACGACTGAGAAACATGCCAGAAGAAGGAGACATAACACAGTCAAGACCTCAAAGTATTAAACACAAAAGAAAACATAAAACTAGCAAAAGCCACAGGAGTTCTAGAGATGAATCGGAAAACCCAGATGAAATCTGGGCAGAAAGTCTATTGGGAGATAGAAAAATTTTTCTATTTCGAGATAGAAAAAAAGAAAGTGGAAAAAGGAGAATGAAAAATAGAAGCAGTAAGCAAACAGAAAGAGAGTGGGTAAACAGTAGTCAACAAACAACAAATACATCAGAGGAAGAAAACATACCAAAGTCAAGACACAAGAGAAAACATAAAAGGCACAGAAGACACAGGAGTTCTTCTACAGATGAAGCAGACAACTCTGTTGTAACCTGGATAGAAAAATTTACAGTTGAAGATGCAGGGCAGGCAAATAAAGAGAGAGGCAAGCCAAGAGCATCAGAGAACAGGCATCTGGTAACAAATATAACAGAGGAGGAGGTTGTACCAAGGAAGAGACACAGTAGCACTAAGCACAAACATAAACACAAGAGGAAAAAAAAACTGGGAGGTTCTTCAGGGAATAAACTAACAGGCTCTGGTGAAATAATAAACCAGTGGAAAAAATCAAGTAGTAGGTTTGGAAATAAAGTCATTGAGAACTACCAAGGTTGTTTAAGAGATGACACTTACAGAGCTCCCATGACAAACTCCTCACCGCCAGATACACTAGACGTATACACTTGTGCTCTACCACCCTCTAAATACCAAGAATATGAAAGTAAACAAACCGAACACAATCACAGACCCAAAACTGTTTCCTCAGATTTATTTGTTCTCGAGGGACAAACTAGTGACTCGGCCTGCATCAGCACTTGTGTCAAAGTTATTTGTGAAGAGCTTAATAGCTATCCATCTTCAGTACAGATTGTGGAGAATGGTTGCTATGATAACTTTTATGCTGGTTCACCTCATAAAACAGCTCTGAATACCTCAAAATATTTACCTACTTGGGAAACACAAACTAAAGTATTGCAATCAAGAGCAGGTAAACATATTCCTGCTAATCGACAAGGAAATAATAAAGAAAATACCACTTGTAAATCAAATATCGGTGAAGTGGTTTTTGATAGTGTACGTAACCCCAGAAATACATCTGTGCATGAACCAGACATTAGTAATGAATCTGAAAATGTTTCATTAGGCAAGTATAATCATATAAGTAGTGGTATCAATATGTCAAAAAGGAGAGAAAAATCCTTTGCTCAATTATATAGCAATATCATTAAGAATATGCCCCCTGGGGGGGATTACCATGTGTGCACTATTGGCTATCCCGGCATTCCGTGGATTTCTGCAGGGAAATCCTGTGAAAAATGTTTGTTAGGGCAAGAAAAACCACGTGCTCAATGGAATGACTTAGACTCTTGCACAGATTCGGAAAGCTATCATGATGTTAATTTTAATCATTTAACCACATTTCACCAGTCCAGGATGCAAGGTGAGGATAAATCATATAAGAAGAAATTTCTCGATAATCATAAGACTAATGATACTGATAAATCAAAACTTATAAATAATAGTGATAATAGCCTTAAGTATAATAATCACACGCATAAAGTAAGCAGCAGAGAAAGTTTTGACATGAATGGAAATGTAAGGCTGCAGATAAATTCTGAGAACAGTATAGGGGATCAACAGATAAACAAGAATACCTGTAATACGTTTGACACAGGGGCGGGTAAGATCCTGAATGATATTATGACATCACCAATTGACTCTGAAGACTCGCTGTCAAGCATATCTGACTATAACAGTTTTTGTAATGAGAAAAACCATGAATTGAAAACAAAGAAATGCAGTAAAATGCAGGAAAGACTTAGTGTGAATAATCCTGCAAGTTTTGCTTACTCGCCAGATAAAACAAGCCACTCAGTTCATGAAGGTTTGTCCGTTCTTAATAACAAGGTCAGAGCTCATAGTGATAATAGCCGTGAGTATAATAATCCCATGCATAAAGTAAGCAGCAGAGAGAGTTTTGACACGAATGGAAATGTAAGGCTACAGATTAATTCTGAGAATGCTGTAGGGGATCATCAGATAAACAAAAATATATGTTATACGTTTGACACAGGGGCAGGTAAGATCCTGAATGATATTATGACATCACCAATTGACTCTGAAGACTCACTTTCAAGCATATCTGACTATAACAGTTTTTGTAAGGAGAAAAACCATGAATTGAAAGCAACGAAATGCAGTAAAATGCAGGAAAGACTTAGTGTGAATAATCCTAGTGATAATAGCCTTGAGTATAATAATCCCATGCATAAAGTAAGCAGCAGAGAGAGTTTTGACACGAATGGAAATGTAAGGCTACAGATTAATTCTGAGAATGCTGTAGGGGATCATCAGATAAACAAAAATATATGTTATACGTTTGACACAGGGGCGGGTAAGATCCTGAATGATATTATGACATCACCAATTGACTCTGAAGACTCGCTGTCAAGCATATCTGACTATAACAGTTTTTGTAATGAGAAAAACCATGAATTGAAAACAAAGAAATGCAGTAAAATGCAGGAAAGACTTAGTGTGAATAATCCTGCAAGTTTTGCTTACTCGCCAGATAAAACAAGCCACTCAGTTCATGAAGGTTTGTCCGTTTTTAATAACAAAGAAACAGATAATTTACCTGCATCAGCTTACATTAGTAGGGAATTATCACAGACATTTGAAAATTCAAAAAGATTGAATGATGATAATTCCCAAGAAGCTTCTTTTAGTTTGGGAAAATTGGCTAATAAAGCTGCTGCTGAAGTCGATAATAGTGTCTATGATTCGGCCGGGTCGTCATCACTATTCGACTTGAAAGATGATACAGACTGTTCAAATTCAAACACCTCATCTTTGCAACATGATAGCAGATTTCTAGGAAAGCAAAAAACCTCTATTAGCTATTTGCCACCAGAAACTCAAACAGTTCCTTCTGAAGATGATTGTCACAACCGAGAAAATAAGGCAGTTAGTATTTTTACATCAAGGAGTAAAACCTCACCATGTAGGAAAGAGAGACTTGAGGAAGAGAAAGGAGATTCTCTGTGTTTTCTTCAAGAAAGAGACCAAGTATGTATGTCTGCTTTAGGTAATAATAATAGTACTAATAATATAGTTACAAGTGCCATTAGTAGCAACTGTAGTGAGCTCAAATCTACCAACAATATGGGTTGTACGACAGTTGTAACTACCACCAATAATAGTAGTAATAAAGACAATATTATCACTACTAGTGCTAGTAATACAGTTATAGCTTCCACCAACAATATTAGCAATAAACGCATCACTCCCACCAACAGTGCTAGAATAGTTACTTCTGGTACCAAAAAGGCAGAACATTTGATACAAGATATTGACATAGCCAAAAAATCAGCAGCTGAGAAAACTGTTGACCAAAGTATATGTGAATCACCAGCTACAGCCTTTCTTAAACCACTGTCAACAGAGTCAGGATTAAACATTTCAATTTCTGAATTGGCACCAAATCTTCACCAGTTGCATCAGAGTGACACTTCTCAAAATTCATCTTCAGAGTCTGAAAACATCCCTCTTGCACAACGGGCTAGAAAAAGACTGCATAATTCCAATACATCTTGTCATTTGCATCAAGTATCCAATGCTTGCACAAGCCCATGCAAGCCAATAACAGAGGTGTTACCTGAAGCTCTTCAGCCAACAAAGCTTTATATAAATTGTATAGCAAATATATGTCCTGCTTGCAGCCATGATCTCATTCCCGATTGGTTTACCTCGGTAAACCTTTCCACAGGATCAATAACCATGAAATGCCAACACTGCCTTCAGTATATAGTTATGAAACAAGTATTGGAACCTGAATTCCAAAATAAGGCAGAAAATATGGTAAGTAAAGGTTACTCAAAAAGGCATAAAGGTAAGAAAGCTGGAAAATTACAGAGTGCTTGCAAAGACATTAGGAATTCAGAAATGAACAAAACTGAATCATCTAAGAAGAAAGGAAACAGAGGTGCCAAGAATATAATGATAAACAAACACACTGTTCTGGCTTCTCAACGTCCGTCAAAAGGGTTCAAATGTGTGCAAAAGTCGAGAAGACACGAAGAGATCAGTTGTAAAGCACCAGAAGACTTCAATAAAACCCTGGCAATGACAAATATTACAGAAAACACATCGCAAGGAAATGCAAAAAATAATTTTACACAAGTAAATATTTATCAAAAAAAATTATGCACAAACAAACCAAAACATACCAGTCTGAAGTTTAAGAGAAGACAAATACCAGGACGTACAGCCTCTAAAAATGTCAACAGTGATGACGAGATACCTTTAGCTTTACGGCAGACTCGCTTCTTTACGAAGAAGCCTTTAGTTATACTCACTCCAGTGGAGGACAGTAGGACTTCCCTTCCCAAAACATCAGTAAAGAAAAGAAGCAGTGTTGTTTCCAAAAAAAAATGCTGTGCTGTAATGTCCTCTCTCGACCAGTCTTCAGTAGAATATGAAAGGTGAGAAACTTACTTTTCTTTTCACTTTTTTAAATAGTGACTTGTCATATATACATAGTAGTGTTTTGTAGAACATTTTGTTGTACAAGTACTTTGTAAATCAATTTTCAAAGCTATTGTTTAGTAAACTTATTGCAATCTTGCTCATTGGTTGCAAAATAAATTACTGGTAAATTAGTGTTTTTCTAGGAAGAGGGACCCTCTTCCTAGATAAACACAAATTCAGTGGGCTTCCCTGAGCTAATTGCTAGATTATCTCCTAACCCCACCAAGCCCTTGAGTCAGGTGCTTATCGAGACCAGAAGCAGGTTCTGGTCCACTCAAGAGGCAAAGAGAGTCTGGGGATACTAGATCAATCCAAGGGGAAAACTCACCAAAAATGTAGTGTGCCCCAAAAGAAGCAATTGCATGGAGAAGTATTAGCAATCTGTTAACTATGTATGCACTCATTAGCCAGTTACCACTATTAATTAGTTACATTCCCCAACCACCAGATGGCACCCTAGGGCATATGTGCCTGGTGCATGTGCCCTAAGCTGTGCTTTGTTTACATATGCCTGGTGCTTGTGACCTAAGCTGTGCCTTGTTTACATATGCCTGGTGCTTGTGACCTAAGCTGTGCCTTGTTTACATATGCCTGGTGCTTGTAACCTAAGCTGTGCCTTGTTTACATATGCCTGGTGCTTGTGACCTAAGCTGTGCCTTGTTTACATATGCCTGGTGCTTGTGCCCTGTTGACATATGCCTGGTGCTTGTGACCTAAGCTGTGCCTTGTTTACATATGCCTGGTACTTGTGACCTAAGCTGTGCCTTGTCTACATATGCCTGGTACTTGTGACCTAAGCTGTGCCTTGTCTACATATGCCTGGTACTTGTGACCTAAGCTGTGCCTTGTCTACATATGCCTGGTGCTTGTGCCTTGAGCTGTATCTTGTTTACTCAACAGCACCTCATCAGAACTGGCTTTAATTTCAGTGTTGGTTATGATTTTGGACTCTGTCCTGTTTATTTCTTTTCCAATTTTTGTCGTTTTGTAAGCCTATTTTTTCCTGCCTATTCTGGTGGAGAGGGTGTTTTATGCTTTGTCAGCTGTGACTTTTTGTCCTCTTCATTGTTGCAGCAGGGTTCTATGCTTGTTTGCAGGTGAACTGTCCTTTGGGGTTCAGGCCTCGCTGTGTAGACCTACCCAAGACCTGGGAAGTTGTTCAGAGATACAAGTGCAATAACACTCCTTTGATTTTCTCTCTCCTTTTAGCACTAGTTTGTGCATCTCAAATGGGAGCTGCTAGTTAGGTTTCTTTGCACCAACGTTTTGCATTTTGTTACTTGGTGTGGTGAGAGGCAGCTTGGTGTGTTCCTCCACTCCTAGCCTCACAATACCTGAGCTTTAAGGATTGGTCGTCAGGGCGTTCCGTGAGGTGGTTTTCCACCCCTCCGTTTTGGACTTGGAGAGCCCTGGCTCGGCTGTCTCCTCCTTGGCTACATGTGGTCATTGCTGGGGGGTTTGGTCGCTGGGATGGGCTTCTTGATTTTCTCCCTGTAGTGGGAGTCAAGTCTTCCTGGTCTCCAGGCAGGGGACCTGGGGACCAGGAAGCACTGGACCTTGTCCTTTTAATTTGTTAAGTCTGAACTGTTTTCTTTCCTATCAAATCTGAAGTTCTGGGGCATATATTGGCATATTCCCTTTTAGCTGGGGTTTAAACTTGGCTCCCCAATCATTTACCATTTGAATACAGTTTGTAGTTACTGTATCTTCTTTGTTGGGGGTCAGGAACTCTGCATCTTGGCCTACCTTGATGACAATGTTGGAAGTCCCAGTTAGTTCTGTTGCAGGTTTGAACCAGGCTGGGACCTGCTTGGATGTCTGGTCAGTGTTCCTGTCTCTGCCTTTAGCAACTCTATTCTACTTGGCTTCTCATATCCATCATGTGGTGGAGTATCTGGGTTTCAAGGAAGTAACTCAAGTGGTTGTACAGGTGTCTGAACTGGGTTTATGTGGTTTATTACCCTGGGCAAGATTTTGATTCAGGTGCTGTACCTGAGGGAGTTAAGTGCTCCACTTAAGCTCCATTCCATGTTCCCAAGGCCTGGCATATGTCTGTGTTGGAAGCCAATACTTCAGGATTGACCTGTACCTTCAGGTCAATCCTTATGCCATTGCTGGGACTATCAGGTATGTTTACTCTTCGGCAGCTTCTTTCTTGCTGTAGCAACTCCTCTTCCTGTGCTCATCAAACACCTCAGACCTTAGTTTGGTATTCATACAAAATAGGAACCAACCAAAACTCTGAGCCACCAGGTGGCTGAGAGTTTTGGTCGGTTCATATTTTCAGGCCCACCTTATAATTTACATGTGGCCACAGTTTGGCATGCTCTTTAGCAATCATCGCTCTCTGAGCTCCGTGATCCGATGTGCTCACAGATGGTCTCTTTTGTTTCTACCCCATCACAGCTAGGTAGTAGATAGTCAACAATGTATCCAATTGACTTTGCAATAATTCAGCTACCCTCAGGTGAACCTCTTCGCATCTGCTTTAAATCAGCAGCTCCCAGTTTATGTGGTTCTGTTCCCAGACCATGAGGTTTTCTAGTCTGTGTGATTTTCTTTATCACTTTCTTCCAGTTTAGCTGCTACTTGTTCTTTCCAAACTGGAGATTTTTTCCAACACAGTGGTACTTCTAGTTCCTCTGTGACTGGCTCATCCTCGGTTTCTGGCATGTTGTTCGAACTGTATGCTCTTCTGCCGTCGAGGCAGAAGGCTCGAGGTTCTGCCTGTTCCTCGATGGTTCAGGGCTCATTGCAGATCTTTGTGACTAGACTTTCTAGATCTGGTTTACCGCCTTCGGTATAGGTCTCAGGTGGCGGATCATATGGTTCCTATTCCTGCTGTGTAGCTCATTTTGTCGTGGCTCTGTTGATCAGCATCTCATGCCTAATGTTGTTGCTTCTTATCAGTCAGCCTTGTATGGACTGGCTTTCATTGGTTTAGGACACTGATGCATCATTGGCTCTGTTTCAGAAGTTGTCTCATATTATCTTTCATCTTCAGTCTGCTACAGCTTCTCCAGAGCCTTCTTAGTCTGAGGATCATATTTGTTATTTTCTTAGGGTGGTGTTTTTTTTTAGTTCTTTCAGAAGAGAGAATCTTTTGGCCCTGAAGGAAAATTCTTTGTTTACAGGAGTCTCCTTTCTTTTAGACCCAGAATGATATATAGTGGGGTCTTGATTTACGATGGTAATCTGTTCCCAGAGACATATCGCAAGTCGAAGTGATTTTTCCCATAAGAAATAAAGGGAATTGAATTAATCCGTTCCACACCCCCCAAAAATATTAACTTGAGAAAACATTTTATATTGAATACAATTTTTTTCTCTAACTACAATACAGTACATATGTTTATCTTACCTTTATGGAGGACTCTTGATGGCATATGGAAGATGGTGATGAGGAGGGAGGAGGTGTTACTGTTTGGATGGGGAGTCCCCTTCCATTATAACATCAGGCAGTGATGATTTCTCTGGGGTACTCTCTCTCTCCTACGTTTTGCCTGCTTGGCACTAGGACCTGGTTGTGGATCACTGCTTATTTGTCTAGCAACACTTGTTTTTCTCTTCGTTTTAACATTTGTCTGTAGTGATGCATCACAGTGTCACTGAAAAGGTTAAGGCAACGGCCTACTACAGCTTGCTCTGGGCGAGTCGTTTCAACAAAGTTTGCATTTCTTCCCACAGTCTACACCACTTCCAAATTGTTGAGGAAGGGACATTCTATTCTGCCTCCTCCTTCCCTGAAGAAATTTGCTCAGCTTCCTCTATGGTCATCCTCACATGTGTTTTCATATGTTGAACCTTACCACTTACTTTCTTGGGACCCATGGCATGATATACAGGGTATAATAATCAGTTTTATGTTCAAAAAGCAAAAAAATCACAAAAAAAATGGAATTTCTTATAAGTGTGATCGTCACTAAGCGGGCGGCTCTAGTAAACTGAGGCAGGTCAGCCAGCGCGACCGTGAACCATGCGCTCGGTCGACCCAAATGTATATCAACGAATATCGTTAGTCGACGACACTATTGTAAGTCAAGTCTCATTTTCCGATCAAATTTATATCGTAACTCGAAATTATCGTAAGTCGAGGTGCCACTGTACTAGGTTTTAGAGTGATCCTCTTGTTATTGTTCATTGATTTGATTGACCTGGGGGCATCACCTTTTTCCAGTTGCAGTGGCTTGACATTGCTTGCACACTGCTCGGAATGCCCCAAGTGATGGCTTTGCTTGATAGTCGGGTGCCCCCCTGGTCCTTTGTTCCAAGTTGTCTGTTGTGTGGGTCTGTTTTGTCAGGCCATGTGGCACTTGTGTAGCATTGGGTACAGTAACTCAAGTGTAAATTCTCCCCTGCTTTTTCCCTTTTCTGTAACCCTTTCCACTACCGCCCACAAGATGGGTATGGGGTGCATAATAAATGAACTAAACTAAAACTAACTTTTTCCCTGGTAAGCCATGTTTTTGTCGTTCTCCGTGTTGGAATAAAGTTCTCCACTGAGGTGAAGAACTCCCAGAAATTTAGTGTAGAATGAAATGAAATACCACTTTCTGGCAGGTCCAGCCCACCTTTTCCTTTTCAGAGGCTTCAGAGATTGTCATTGGACAGTGCATGTCTGATGGCTGGCTGATGGTCTGGGATGCCATCCAGTGGTGCAACTAACAATGGTAATTGGCTAATGATTATGTACGTAGTTAATAGGTTTAATAGGTTGCAATGTTTCTCCATGCAGTTGCATATTTTGAGGCACCCTTTTTGGCATGTTTTCCCCTCTGCTCGAGTTGATCCAGTATCCTTTGCCTTGGAATGGACCAGATTTTGCTTCTAGTCTCTAATAGACACTTATGACTCTCATGGCCAAGAGCCGGGCTCGATAAGGCTTGCCACTAACAAGGTGGAGGGAAAAGGGGAAGGGAAGGACACAACAAGGCATCATTTTAAAACCTTCAATGTTGGGTTTTATCAATGCCAAGTATGATTTAGTCACTGTTCTTTATGCATTGTGATTCCCTAATACTTGATCTTAATAATGGAAATTTTTGTAGAATTATGCATTTCTAAATGCCGAGACATTGGTAGAAGATAAGTTGGTAAATTTATTACAAGTATTAAAGAAAGTGTTATATTTCTTCTTTATTAATGCAAGATTGTTTAATATTTATTAGTAAATGTGAATAAAATATGAAAATACCATATATTTCCTGTTTATTTAGGGAATTGCACAAAGTTTTCAATACCTTTGGGTAATTTTACATTCCCATTTTTAGTCTTTTTTATAAAAATGTATATTTTCTAATAAAATTAGGTTTATTCAGGTTCTACATTCATTGACAACACTTATTGACACTATTATCAGATGTTGATCACAGTGGTCTGAGAAAAAAATACTATGATTTTAAAGCTTGTTAATTAATGCAGTAATTAATATATAATTGATTTTGTTTTATATTTACCGTAACTAATAGACAAATTCTAGGCCAAGTTCAGCATTGATATTTATATAATTTCAGAAGCAAGACAAGTGGTGGAAGCCGTGCAGTGGAATAAGAGGATGTGAGGTGTACGTTATTACTACAAACCAGCACATCTAGTGACAGGTACGCAAGATAAGTCACATCGTACACAAGACGGTTCACCAACACATTTTAAACCCTACCTTACCCAACCTAACCTACTCCAACCAAACCTAATACAGCCTAACTTAAGCTAATGCCTCCTAACATGAACAATATCCATGGTTTAAAAAAAAAATAATGACCTTTGTCAAATTATCTTGTGCAGGATTGGACTATATACCCTGCATGCAAGCCTACAACTTGAAGCTAAATATATAAAGAAGTTTAAAATACTGCACTTCCAACAAATTTATCATACTATGCTCATGCTATTTTGACCTTGAAGAGTTTGGATGATACTTTTTCAAAGATATTATCAATCATATACAATAGTATGTCTAATTTCAAAGATAAAGTGGTCTCTCTTGTCTTGGGGCTAGTATTGTATTACAGCTCTCATACTTTAAGAACTACAGTATTAATAATGTACACAATATAAAAGTGGTTAAAAAAAATGAATTACTTTAAAGGTATGATAAAAATTATGATTTCGGTGGGAAAACAAATAGGACAAATGTATTTCAGTGCTGTATAATGAAACAATTTGTTTTAAGAAATTATGGTTACTTAGAGATTTTTAGGTCAAGTATTTTAAAAACAGAACTGTCAGTTTAAAGAAAAAAATCACTGCCACACAAATATTTTACTCAAGATACAAAATAAATTATTTTCTACTTCATTAATTATAACTTTGGTAAAATTGAAAAATACATATCAAATAAGATTACTGTATTGAATTTTTTTTAACATGGTTTAAATATTTATGTAAAGTCATGATTGCCATTAAATAATTAGATATTTATTCTTTCAAAACAATGTTTTTATATTGCAATACAATACTGGTACTGACTTTATTATTCACATCGTGAAGAAAAACTACCATTGTTGATATTATAATTATTAGGTTATTTATGTCAAGGCACAATTACTATTTAAATAGTTTAACTCAGTGCTTGCTTAATTGTTATAAAACAGGTGAATATGGGATTAACATGCATTGTTGATCAACCAGTTTCGTTTATAATTTATTAGAAACTTGTTTTTAAAGAGTGTTTAATTTTACATCTGTTTTTTATGCGGAAAATACAATCTTGTTTTTACACGAAGCATGTACTGTATTACTCGATTTCTTTCCTAGAATGGGTATTGTATATTAAATTCAGGATTTTTTTTAAATTTATGATACTGTATATATATCAAGAACTCTCTCTTGACTACCAGGATTAGAACCCCCACCGCCTGGAATCACCCTGGTCTACGGGGTGTTGTAACCACTACACCATTGATCAGTGGGGGTTCAAATCCTGGTAGGTTTAAAGAGAATTTTTAGTGATTTATGGCTCGCATGTTCATGCAGTCTTTGTCTCACACACACATTATACTGTATATATATGCATAAGTGTCCACTAGGAAAATGAAACAAAAATTCAAAAAAATTCCGTGTTTCACCACATTATCAATGTGGTGATGTAATACAAAAAATATCAGTGGTGAAACCACATTGATATTTTTTCCACATTTTTGAACACCAAAAATGTTTGGAGTTTTTGTTTTTCATTTTCCTAGTGGATACTTACACAGTATACTGTGATGCATATGTGTATATTTGGTTAAATATGACCACATTGCTGGCATTGTTGATCTTATAGTATATAAGCTTTCTATGCTAAGCTTTTCTTATTTTTGGGATTAAGAAGAGCAATCAAATAACTGAAATTTATGGTAAAGAAACTAGTAATTATTGAAGGGTTTTTTCTTCTACAACATTTTGTTCTACTCTGGAACATCTTCAGGTAAGGAATGAATATACAACCTTGAGGTGCTTCCGGGGCTTAGTGTCCCCGCGGCCCGGTCGTCGACCAGGCCTCCTGGTTGCTGGACTGATCAACCAGACTGTTAGACGCGGCTGCTCGCAGCCTGACGTATGAGTCACAGCCTGGTTGATTAGGTATCCTTTGGAGGTGTTTATCCAGTTCTCTCTTGAACACTGTGAGGGGTCGGCCAGTTATGTCCCTTATGTGTAGTGGAAGCGTGTTGAACAGTCTCGGGCCTCTGATGTTGATAGAGTTCTCTCTCAGAGTACCTGTTGCACCTCTGCTTTTCAACGGGGGTATTCTGCACATCCTGCCATGCCTCCTGGTCTCATGTGATGTTATTTCTGTGTGCAGGTTTGGGACCAGCCCCTCAATTATTTTCCACGTTTAAATTATTATGTCTCTCTCCCGCCTGCGCTCAAGGGAGTACAGATTTAGGCTCTTTAGTCGGTCCCAGTAATTTAGATGTTTTACCGAGTGGATTCTAGCAGTAAAGGATCTCTGCACGCTCTCCAGGTCAGCAATTTCTCCAGCTTTGAAAGGGGCTGTCATTGTGCAGCAGTACTCCACTCTAGAGAGCACAAGCATTTTGAAAAGTATTAATTTACAAAGTGCAAATTTATCTTAAATACACAGGTGAAAGGTGAAATAATCAAACATAGGTAAAGAAATATGGGAATAATGTGGATGGATGCCAATCCAACACTGGGTATGGTGGTGGGGAGAACTCTGTACAGATGTTATCTGGTGCTCTATGGTGAGGTTTGGATTTGAGGGTAGGTCATAAGTTTATCAAAGTCTTTACTCTGTATACTGTATTTAGGGCAAGTCATTTTTTCTTTTATGCTATTGCTTCCAGGATTTGTAGTCTTCTCTGGCCAGTGGTGGATGCCAGGATTGTTGTATTTACTAGCATGTTCCTAGTGAGTGTTGTGTTGTGTGCACTTAGTATATGGTTTCTAGGGGCACCAGCTGGTAGATGGCAGGTCAGTCTTCTCAAAAGCTTTGTGGTGGTCATGCCAATATAAGTACCACCACAAAGCTTTTGAGAAGACTGACCTGCCATCTACCAGCTGGTGCCCCTAGAAACCATATACTAAGTGCACACAACACAACACTCACTAGGAACATGCTAGTAAATACAACAATCCTGGCATCCACCACTGGCCAGAGAAGACTACAAATCCTGGAAGCAATAGCATAATAGAAAAAATGACTTGCCCTAAATACAGTATACAGAGTAAAGACTTTGATAAACTTATGACCTACCCTCAAATCCAAACCTCACCATAGAGCACCGGATAACATCTGTACAGAGTTCTCCCCACCACCATACCCAGTGTTGGATTGGCATCCATCCACATTATTCCCATATTTGTTCACCTTACCTCCTACACAACTTCCTCTTTCACATGTTTATTTAAGATAAATTTGCTCTTTGTATATTCATTCCTTACCTGAGGATGTTACAGAATGGAACTAAATGATGTAGAGAAATAAAACCTTCAATAATTACTAGTTTCTTTACTATGAATTTCAGTTCTTCGATTGCCCTTATTAATCCAGAGAGTAAAAAAAAAAAATATTAGCATAGAAATCTTATACTGTACTGTAAGATCAACAATGCCAGCAATGTGGTCAATTTAACCAAATATGCTTAAAGGAATGCCTTCTGCCAAAATACACAAATATATATATATATATATATTTATTGTTATATTTTTTCTAACCCATTGTATTAGCATGTATTAATGCCAAGCAATATTTCTTGTGGTACTCGCCAATGAAGTATTTCAGCTGTCCGAATTATTTTAATTGCTCATGTACCATACACCAAGTTTGTGAGGAAAGCTTTATTTTACAACAAAAGGTCTATGCTTTTACTCAAAGTACAAATATACAAACTTTTCTTACAAACTGGTCTTTAAATAATTTCTGCAGACCTCATTAAAACTATGTTCATTAGAATGTTTTTAAGCTACATCTTTTATACCACACATCCTCAAGGATAAGAAAACCTCCTTTATGGAACTAATCTGCACCATCTCAAGAGGGGTAGAAGCCTTTACCATGCGAGTCAAGGCATTGCAAAATTCTGCAGTGAGTCCTTCCATGGGGGGCAAAGATGGAACAACATGAGGAGAGAGACTGCTAACATGAACCAAGATATCCAAGAAGAAAGGGATGGTGTGAAATTGAACAGGGCCCCCTCATGCAAAGTTACAGTCGCCGAGGGCGAGTATTGTATAATGCCACCGAGCCGAGGAGATAACCACCATATAATGCTGTGGAGCCAAGAGTACCATATAATTCTGCAGTCAAGAGGCAAGTAATGTATAATTCTGCAAAGCTGAAGGCAAGTCCATACTGTACTAAATAATTCTGCATAGCCAAGGGCAAGTATTGTATAATGCTGTAAAGGGCAAGTAAATGCTGTAGAACCAAAGGCGAGAATAATGTTGCAGAGCCGAGGGGAAGTATAATGCTGCAGCCACCCCCCCCCCCCCAGTAGTAGTGACAATATACATCATAGTCTTGACAATCGTCAAGGAATTCACAAGGATCTAAGAGCTGGGTATACTACTAGGTTATGCAGTATTACCCACTACCAAGGGATGGAGGCGAGATTAAATGGGTGATCATAGGCCCATACCAAGTCAAAGATGTATTGCCTACATACAATTTAAAAAAAATACAAATTGTCCATGTACATTGTCTAAATTTTAAAATTTTACTATGAGCCAAGCCTCTAAAAATGGACAAACGAACCAATTAAAGTGCATAGGTACAGTATAAACATTTATAATATTATAACCATTGTTTATCATTTTTACCCATTATAGAATTTTTAATTATTATCTCTTACAAAGAGAGACAGGAAGATAGGTCTCCTTTGTCTGGATACTTGAAAAGCAGTTGGGTATTCACAAGCAGAGACTTCAATAGTCAAAACCATATTAAAAACTTACACTGCATCCCTATAGAGAATCATATTTTGTACAGGGTTGTTAGTGAAATAAATAACATGTTATTTATCTTTAGGAGTTGCCCTTTACCTGAAGGGTAGTCGTCTTATATGGTAGCAACACGATAAAAAAATCTAAAAGCTTGCAGTCACATGTTGATTATAACCTTTTTACACAGTCATGTAGATACCTGGTGCTCAAGATATGCCTTTAGTCAAGAATTTATCATTCACCTGTGTTGAAAAGAAAGCAAGAGAGGTTGAGAATTACTCCCAGATGTATATGCAACTGAAAAAGAAAAGAAACAGAGAAGAAAGAAAAAGATGAAGAATATGAAAAAAAAACGAGGAAATGTCAAAATGGATAATACTAGTATTTAGTACACTATAATGCAGCACTTGTGTAGCCTCAGTAACCAATAAATAATGACTTAACACATTATATCTTTAGTGGCATCATTTATATTATAGCTTTAGACTTTTAAAAGCAACCGGGAGAGATCTGTACGGATTTGTAATTTGCATACAGTACTTCAAATTGCCCACCTACAGTTCTCCTCAAAGATAAGTTATTAGGCTAATAAATGCTTTATAATTGTAAATTGTTTTATTTGTTTAAACAATGTCAACAACAATCCAGTAATAAATAAAACAATATATTAGTCATGAAGTCAAAAATATTAAATTTAAATAATTATCAAAAAAGGCACCAAACCATTATGGCTAAATAGCAAAAAATAACTAACTCTCCCAAATATTCCTGGTGCTTAAATCCAATACTCACTGGAAGTTTTATGAAGGGAAAGGAGGAAATACAGGCTTTATCCCCTAGCTGAAGTTATAACCCCCCTAAGATATGGTCCCCCCCCTACTATTTCATCTGAATCCGACATTTATATGAACCAATGCAATAAAGTTAAATGTTTAGGCACCAAAATTTTTATGATATTGAAAACTAATTGAAAACAAAACTAATATCCATCATTGGAGAACTTAATTTGATCATAGTCTGGATACTTGACCTTGAGCAAGTCCACAGTAATGCTGTGGTCAGCTCGACCATACCCTTGAGAATATCCATAAACTTCAATAGTTTTATTGTCCAGTTCATGACGGATGCGACCACCGCCCATACACTCGCAGTCCAGTCCCAGCTTCTCAATTGCTGGTACAACCTTATCGTATATATCCGAGTGAAAACCAGCCGACAGATATCTGAAGGAAACAAAAGGTTTATCTACTCGTGTCATACTAGTATTGCATGTTGTATCCCCACACAACCCATGGCAGAGATCTACCTTTTGTGTATGTGTGTATTTATTAGGTGCAGTTAGAGGTACATAATAGGCTCAGGAACTGAACCCCAAAAGTAATTTAACTAAGCTAGTTACATAGTTTAATGCAAGACAACAAAATTTGTCTAATACGAACATATTTGCACTGGACCGATTTTATTTCATAATCACGATAGTACAGTACAATAATTAATAACCTGTACACATTCAATCTACATCACTCACAATGTAGTTCAAGGTGGAACTATTGGTAAGGATAATGTAGGATACTGTATATAAATGTGAAAACACACACATTATGTTCTATCACTAAAAGTTACACAGTTAACTTTTTGGTTGCAACAAACAACATTTTTCCATTTTCATATAAAACCTCTATAATTTGCTGGAAGGGGCAAGATCATCTCACGACTGTGGAAAAGGGGGATAAACACCCTGTCATCTGATAACTAAAGCCCAAATAAAGAATGTCTCATGTCTCCATCCATCCAAATGCAAATTTATAGGCATCTACTGTCATTTTACAGTTGTTCTCAGCCTTGGTACACAGGTCCCAGCTCAAAAACCACTGTTCTACAGTTTAAAACTATTTGCCTAGATATAATTTTAAATATAACCTCGGCTAAGGTTACCTTGAATTTTTTTTTGTGCAAGAAGCATTCAGGCCATCGTGGAAACCCAAGCATTTTAATACTGTAACCTTTGATTTAATATAATTTAATTTATTTGGTAGTTTTTGTCCTACATCTGTATTGCCTAAAATGAGGCAATGAAAGTAAAATTATTTTTTCCCTCGCAATCTAAAAACATGGTACAGTACAGTATAAGAAAATTTAAGGGTACAAATTATATGAACATTTTTTTTTTTTTTTACCCGTAAAGCAATACAGTAAAATAATTTTTTAAGCATCAAAATACAGTATACTGTACAGTATAAAATAGCCTAAAGGTTAACTATTCTAGTTCCATTATGTAACATTTGAGAAAGCTAAAATTTAGAATATTGTACAGTAGTATGTACTGTATTTGTAACAATTTTATGTTAAAAAAAAGGGCCCATACCACTGAGCTTAGGTTAAGTATTAAAACCAATAAAAAATGTCAAAGAATTAGCTTACCCTCTGGTAATAAACTTTGAAGTCTCCGTTTCTCCTGGCGGTGAATAATAAACCTTGATAAGAATGTACTTGAAGGTACCAGTGTCAATATCCACATTGTCAACTTTGTCTAGGGGGGAAGACATTGCTCGTGGACCGTTACACAACCTATAACATCAAGGATTTTGTTAGGACTATACATTAACCAGTTTTGACTAATGGATAAACTTCAATGTACCCAAATGCTGTGCGTGTTAGTGGCTTTGCAAGAATGTAAAAGTATCTCTAATGTAATCTCACCAACTCATTGTACCTTCTTGTAAATATTATTAATTAATTATTATTACTACTACTACTACTGTACATACAATGCTAAATTGTTTTGTTTATTTAGGCTTACAATGATGTATAGGGAGTAACAACAGCCAACAGAGACCATCACCCAGATTAATAGTCATAGACAAGGTTATTCCGACAGAACAGTGCCAAATTTTGAAAAAAACTTATATAATACATTAATTTGATTCATAAGAACTACTGTGAATAAAAACACGTTATTGTGGTTAAATAGTAGGCACACAAATTGTACAAGAAATAGCACCACTAATAAGCAAAGCATTTTGGGCACAAATAAATTAACCAAATTATTTTAACTTTAAAACAGTAAATGTTTAATACTAAACGAGAAGCTAACACCTATGAATTGTTCAAGAAAATAAGCAAATATAAAATATTTATTTGGTACTTAATGAAAGACATAGTACTACTTTCCTGTCAATTGTTGCTTTAATAATAATGCCGATATACTATTAATATTCACAATAACAAAATACAGACTAACTTTAGAAAGATTAGGAAATTTAAGTGATATGTGTTACATATTACTACTGTACTCAACAACTTTGTTTGTTTCTCCTTTAAACTGGAGGAGAGAAGCACAGCATTTAATCTTATTTGGGAGATCACAGAAGGTCGAGTGGTTAAGGTCTCCTGTACACCAGTAGCATAGTTCTCCTGGCAGTATGGGTTCGAGTCCCTTATTTGGGAGATCATTCCACAATTTTGAACCATTTATTTGCATGCCATTTCTGCTTTGATAAATTTTTATTAATTTGTTCTTACATTGATGGATACTACAGTAATACAGTACATTACAAGCAGACAATTAAGCACATATTTAGGCTACAGTCCACCAACCAAGGTTTTTGTGTGGAGGAAATCATTCAATGTTAAAATCACAACACTCAGCCATAATAGAATAAGAAAAACAAAACCAATGAAAGAGTAAAGAAAAAATGAGGTAGATGCAAAATAACCATTTGTGTACACAATATAAAATTATTTAATAGTAAAAATAATAAGCGAATTAATAAAAAATGTTAAGTGAAGCCAACCCACCAATTGCACGACGAAACTATGAGATACGAACAACTTTTAACACCTCTAAGTTGTAACAACCAATATATAGCTAGTTGTAACAACGTTCTGTCAAAAATGTTATAACAACATTTAACAACTTTATTACAAGTTGTAACAAGCAGAAAATAGAGACAGTTACGTTTAGTATGTGCAGGGAACAGAGGAAGGAGTAAAGAAAACAAGTAGTGATACCTGCAGTGGGAAAAAAACAAAGGAACAGCAAAGAGGACAAAGGAGAAACTCACCCGAGTCAGTGACTTGGGGGGGGGGGGTGAGAGATTGTCTTATTGTTATTCCCCAAAGTTAGTTAAAAAATCAAATTCCTGATGCAGAGTTTCAAAGATGGACCAAGAGATGCAAGAAAATAAAACCAGCATTGAATATAATGAAACGCCTCTTTCTGGTAGAGGCTCGGTGGCTCCCTGAAGCTACCTTGCCAAAATTTTTCCATTTTTTTAAACAGTCACAATTATGTTTGGCCCACCAGGAGCCAGAGCCAGACCTGGCTCTCTCACAGTGACACAGGAAGCGAGTGACAAGTTGCCACCTCACTGGAAAAAAATTCAGAAGGTCAGCGAAGATTTACAAACCCCTGCAAGGTTCACAGATATTGAAGTACTGAAACCTCCAAACTACAAATAATTCAAAAGAACCAATTGGTTCACTCAACTATTCGAACTTGTACTGCTGATGGTACAGATGGTACCACTAGGTGGCTCCGGAACGCTAAGCCCCGAAATCATCTCAAGATGACCTTCAGATAACCTCCCCCCCCCCCCATCATGTGTACAATGTGACTTTGATGTTGTATTAGGCTCTTGTGTCAAGTCTGATACAGCTTAACCTAACAATATATACCATTTTAAAAAACAAAAATGAGCTTTCTCAAATCATCTTTTAGACAATTTGACCATACCCCATCAACACATTCCTCTACCAGGGATACAAGACTCATGGTACCCAACACGATTCACCAGATGGAATTAAAACCGAACTCCACCTAACCCAACAATATACAGTACCGTATATAGTTTTGTGGTGATTATGGGTTCCCCCCCCCCTGCAGCAGCACAGGTTATGGGGTCCACCACCACCCACAGTCCCTGTGGCATAGTGGCAAGACACTCGGCTGGCATTTCCCGAGTGCTTTGGCCAGGGTTCGTATCCTGGCCCGGGAGGATTGACTGGGCGCCAATCCTTAACTGTAGTCACTGTTTACCCAACAGTAAATGGGTACCTGGTTGTTAAACCATTTGGCGGGTGGTGTTCCAGGGAACACAGTATTAAGGACCCGCCCGTAACGCTACGCCTGCTGCTGGCTGTACAAGAATGTAACAACTCTTATATATAAAAATAAATTAAAAATAAATAAGTATGGCAGCCCAGTGCCAACGACAGGATGGGTATTGGGGGATGGGGGGGGGGTATGCAATAAATAAATAAATAAATAAACAAATAACACACAACAGCAGTTAGCACTCATATCCCGGCACATCAACATCACCTCTACGGTGGCAGCAGTCAGTTACCGTGCCCCCCGCAGGCACCAACAACCTACTGTGTCAAGGAGAAAAGTGTAGGGAGACGAGGACACACTGGTCGTAGCAGCTGGAACATCCACCACAAATATCACTGAGGGAGACGCGCGCCGCCGCATCCGCATCCGGATTCAAGTCGGATTCGTCACCGTTTTTGTGACGTCATATTTTCTGGCGTCACCTCTACTGTGACATCATAATTTTGGTAAGGTAAGATAAGATAAGGAGGTGTTTATTCAGGTAAAGGTACTTAAATTGAAAATAAATTACAAACATAATGTTGGGTTTATAGATAGAGCTAGTACATACAATGCCTGAAGCCATTAATACGCTACAGCGAATTTTGAAGTGACCGCTTCCGTGGCGTCGCCGTTATTGTGGGGTCGATGTTTTTGTGGCGTCGCCGTTTTTGTGGCGTCGCCGTTTTTGTGGCGTCGATGTTTTTGTGGCGTCGATGTTTTTGTGGCGTCGATGTTTTTGTGGCGTCGATGTTTTTGTGGCGTCGATGTTTTTGTGGCGTCGATGTTTTTGTGGCGTCGATGTTTTTGTGGCGTCGATGTTTTTGTGGCGTCGATGTTTTTGTGGCTTCGCCGTTTTTGTGACGTCGTTGTTTTTGTGGCGTCGCCGTTTTTGTGACGTCACCGCTTCGGTGATGTTGCCGTTTTTATAATGCTAACCAACAGTCGCTAAGCTAAACCCATCCGTAGGCTCCTTGACGCCGAGTGGACGTCTGGATACTTCCTCCGCCTGGAAGCCGCTGGATCACGTCCTGTTTTCGCGTTTTGGCTTTGCTACAGACGTTTGGCATCACTCTTCAACGGTCCGATTGTACGACGCCTGGCGCACATATCGCCTTGGGTCACAGGATTGTTTATGGATTTTTTTTTGACGTGTACTCGCTGGTTCTCCCGGTGGGGTGACGGTGTTCGGGGGCCAGCTTGGCCGAGAGGTGCCGGGAGCTGGTGGGTCTTGGTGGGCTCCTGGTGTGCCCTCAGTCGTGGTGGGCAGCTGGCTTCTCCTCTGCCGGGGGACACTGGATGACTTTTGCGTTTTGGTTGGCGGCAGAGTTTTGGTTTTGCTACCCAGTGTTCTCTGTGTACTCACCTAATTGTGAGTACACAGAGAACACTGGGTAGCAAAGTGTTCTCTGTGTTCACAGTGTTCTCTGTGTGGGGCGGGGCCGGTGCTTGTCACCCTGAGGGACTCTTGGGGCTCCCCAATCATCTGCCCGTCTGTGCGTTTATTTGCCGTATGTCATATTAGTTTCTAGTGATTGGCGTCACTCGTTTCGCGATTTGGCTTGGCGTCTCACCTTTCCAGGCTTCGCGATTCACCCTTAACGGGTACGCCGGGGCGCAACCGATCCCACGATCGTCGTCGCCCCTAAATCAACAACAACAACCACCCATCCGTAAAAGCAATAATAAATAACTCCATTTATTATTAATAATAATTAATAATTATTAATATTATGCTTTATTTTTTTCGGGGGACAGGCAGCTTGTATGTATATACTTAAGCTTGTGTGTATATATTGTATGTATATACACAAACCGCTCACGGGAGACATCTCCCGTCACGCAGGGTGCAGTCGCACCTCCACAGATCTACAGTATCATCTATTGATACTGGTTAAGGCTCAAAAGGGCCACCACTTACGGGCTATTCATGCCCGTGCCACCTCTTGGGTGGCTTAATCTTTATCAGTCATCATCGTCTTTATCACAAACCGCTTCCCGAAACGCCATGCGTGTTAGTGGCCGTGCAAGACTGTAAAAAAAGACCAGTCTTGTGTAATCTCATCAACCCAACTGGTCTGGCCTGGTCCAGGCCGGCTCCTGGTCGACGACCGGGCCGCGGGGACGCTAAGCCCCGAAATCATCTCGAGGTAAGGTAACCACTGTATCTTCTTGAGAATGAAACAATTAATGATTGATAAAGATTAAGCCACACACAAGAGGCGGCACGGGCATGAATAGCCCGTAAAATGATTATTATTGTTATTGTTTTAGATTCAGCTACTCAGAACAATAAGTTCCAAGCAGCACGGGCTATGGTGAGCCCGTAGAACAAATTATTATGTGTACGGGTTCTATATGGCGGTTCCCCAGGATGGAATGCCTGACCCTCCCCAGGAGACAACCCCACAACAGTTCAGTACAATATCCCGCGCACCTATTTAATTACTACTAGATGAACAGAGGCATTAGGTGAAAGAAAGCTTATCCAACCATTTGTTATGCCCGGGAGTCACCATTGTGAGTCCAGAACGAAGCCAACTGTAGTAATTAGATTTAGATTTTTTATTCAGGTAAAGGTACATACATTGAATTACATAGTGTTAGATTTAAAGATAGAGATAGTACATACAATGCCTAAAGCCACTAGTGGTAAGACACTCGCCTGGCGTTCCGCAAGCGCTATGTCATGGGTTCGTATCCTGGCCGGGGAGGATTTACTGGGCGCAATTCCTTAACTGTAGCCTCTGTTTAACGCAACAGTAAGTAAGTAATTATCAAAAGAAGGCACCAAACCGGGAAGGCTATGTAGCACCATCAAATGCGCAAAATAATCAGAGGGCGCTAAATATCACCAAGGATGCCAATACGAGAACAAAAACGCATAAGGCGAACGATATCAAAAGTATCCGAGTCACCAAGATTTCTATTGAGGGACAGGTGACCGCGAGGGGCGGTCGGAAAGCAAGACACACGCTCGTCCTGGAAGTCAGGACATTCAAGAAGGACATGCACGACCGTAAGAGGGACAATGCAACTAGGACAATAAGGAGCAGGGCGGCGCTCCATCAAGTGACCATGGGTTAAGCGAGTATGGCCAATACGCAATCTCGCCAGAGCTGTTTCCCACCGCCGGTTACGGTGGAAGGAGGACGGCCACGAGGAAACACAACATTTAAGAGTACGTAGCTTGTTACCAGTAACAGACAACCAAGAAGCCTGCCAACGGGTAAGGACGGAGGAATGGATAACCGGGTAAAAGTCGGAATACGGAACGCCTTTACGAGAGATGGGACAAGAGCGGACAGCTTCCTTGGCGGCAGCATCCGCACGCTCATTTAAAGACACACCAATATGGCTGGGAACCCAACAAAACTCAACCGACTTAAATTTACTGTGAACAAGAAACAGCCAATGCTGGATCTCGACAACTACTGGATGAACCGGATTAAAGGACCCGAGAGCCATGAGGGCACTACGAGAGTCAACAACAACTACAAAGGAGGACTGACAACGAGAAAGCAGGAGACGAAGAGCATAGAGAATAGCATAAAGTTCCGCTGTAAAGATGCTAGTCTCCGGAGGTAAGCGACACATAAGTGCGATCAGGAAAAACAACAGAGTAGCCAACACCGTCCGCCGACTTAGACCCATCGGTGAAGACAGAAACAGAGCGGGAGTGAGAAGAAAAGTGCTCAAGGAAAAGGCGTTTCAGAACCGTAGGAGGGGTAAAAGCTTTAGTGATACGGGACAAGGAAGTACAAAACCGCGGAAGAGGGACTCTCCACGGGGGCAAAGAAGGAACAACACGAGGAGAAACATTAGAAATACGAACGGAAAGAGAATCCTGGAGGCGAGATAACCGGACAGAAAGAGGGAGCTGGTGAAGAGGAACAGGAACCGCAAGAGGGGTAAAAGTTAAAGCACGACAGAGGCGAGAGGAAGGATGTTGTAAGGACCGCGCAAGATAGCGAAGACAGTAGCGATCACGGCGGTCCTGGAGAGACAGGAAGCCAGTGTCAACATACAAGCTAAGGACGGGAGTCGAACGAAAGGCACCAGAACTGAGGCGCAACCCAGTATGGTGCAAAGCATCAAGACGGCGAAGAGTAGAAGGAGAAGCAGACGAGTAAGCAGGGCAACCATAATCGAGCTTAGACAGGACGAGAGAGGAATGTAAAGCAAGGAGAGTGCGCCTATCTGCTCCCCAAGAAGTATGGGACAAGACCCGAAGGAGGGTAAGGGCCTTAGAGCACTCAACACGGAGGTAAGAGATATGGGGAGACCAAGACAAACGAGTGTCAAGGAATAACCCCAAAAGCTTTGCAGAATCTTTGTATTCAAGGGGATGACCATAAAGTGACAAAGAGGGACGAAGAACAACCCGTTTCCGCGTAAAAGTCATGGCACAAGTCTTAGAAGTAGAGAACTTGAAGCCATGACCCCCTCCCCGCTCAGCTCGTTGTCGCCGTGTGGGGGCTTCGTAGGCGGCTGCCGGAGTGTGATGCTCCTTAGGACAGTCCTCTGTCCTTTTCTAGCCTTGTGCTCCTGCTGCCGTCCTCTCCAATTCTGCTGGGCATCTTTTCCTTTTCCTTCTGTTTCGTTTTTCTCCCCCCTCTTCTCCTATCTGCTTGCCGTTTCCTGCCGACCTTTTGCTCGTTCTGGTTCTTCCATGGCCTTCTTCTATTTTGACGCCCGGGTGCTTGAGGAGGCATACTCATGCACCCGTAGAACTGCAGTACCCGACGTCGAGAGCGAGGGGAACCTTTTTTTGTCAATCCCCATTTCGTCACTGAACCCGATCTCGACGGACTGTCGGTTTCTTAAGGTGGCGTTTGTGGGGCGTATACTCACGACGCACCCCTAGGAGGCCCCGACAAGATCGGCGATAGCTTCTTGTTGGGTGTCCTGCCTCTAATTGTGGCTCCGTGGTGGGTGTGGGGGCACATTCGTGAGTGAATTCTTCTTTTCGTCAAGATGATAACCCCTGTTTCGGCTGCTTCTGGCTTACCTTCTCAGGCTCGTGGGGTGGGGGACCAAGCCCCCGAGTCGGTCCGTATTGGAAGACCGGGCTCTGTAGCCTCCGCTGCATTGGGCCCCGACCTTGCTCCTCCTTTGGCCTCTCTGACTCCTTCCCCTGGCTCCCTTCCCTCCTCTGTGGTTGGGTCGAGCCCCAAGCCCCCAGTGGTGACTACCTCGTCCCCTGGCGCGGCTCCTTCTCTAGTTGTAACTACTGCGCCTTTTAACCCCCTCTCTCTCTGGGGGTTCTCACCGCCGTCCTCGTCATGGCCGCCCTCGCTCGATTCCTTCCAGTTCTGCTACCTATCAAGCCTTGTTTGGTCCCGCTTCGTGGGCCAAATATTTTGATCTCCTCCCTCTTGATTCTGCGCCTCCTGACGATTT